CATTTGATATAGGCCGAAAGATATACCAAGTGGAAACGGGATGTGGTGGCCGAACGTTAGAAAAGGGTGGGAGAAAGCAAACGGTTTATCTGCAGAGGCGTACTTGTAGTTGTAAAAAGGTGGAAATATACAAGATTCCATGCTCCCACGTATTAGCCGTGTGCAGACAACGTAGTTTGTCTTATCATACATTTGTGGATCCTTTTTTCTCATCCGCCCAATACGCCGCTACATATCAAAGAGTTTTTAAACTCATTCATGACCGTGCTTATTGGCCGACTTACTATGGACCAGAAATTGTGCATGATCCATCCATTTTTCGGGCAAAGGGAAGACCTAAGTCCACACGTATTAAGAATGAGATGGATGAAGGTCCCAGAGGAATGGTTAGATGTGGAAATTGTAAACAAAGCGGCCATAATAGGGCCATATGTACGAATAAATCTTCAAAGGATGGAGGGGGGTCCACTAGGTAAAGTTTTAATTATAATAATCCACAACTCATTCTAACGTGAAATGAAAAAAAATTAATTAATTAAGGCCATTAATTAAATATTAATAATTATTTAATAACTAATATCCTTTTTATTTTTTGTAGGCATGAAGGTGTCAGTGGATCCAGAGCCGAGTGATCGATGTGTCCTGACATTGCAGGCCATGCACAGGAGTGAGGATGTGTGGCGTGGCCTCGATGTTCAGGTGGATAGGTGCCGCGAGCACCTCCGTGGTTTGTCGCACGTGCAGGTGGATAACAGAGTACTAGCATATGTTAGGGCTGAAGGTTTTTATGGTCTTCATAGATTGGTGGTTACTGTCCCTCTTGATAAAGCGCTACTCATTACTATTCTTGAGCGTTGGAGGCAGGAGACACACACATTTCACCTCCCTGTTGGTGAGGTGACAGTGACCTTGGGAGATGTAGCTGTATTGACTGGGTTAGAGGTCCATGGCAGAGCAGTTACAGGTACTGCGTGTCGACCATGGGTTGAGGATGTTGAGCTCTTGTTGGGTGTACGCCCCCTTCTTCAGACTGACATTCATGGGTTATGTCTGAAGATGTCATGGTTGCGGGAGCATTTCGTTGTTCTTCATCCGGACGCTGATGAGGTGATGATTCAGCAGCATGCACAAGCTTACATTTTGATGATGATGGGAGCTTCCATTTTTGTTGACAAGAGTGGAAATGAGGTTTAGGTGCTGCACTTGCCTATGCTAGAGATATTTGATGTAGCTGCACAGTTCAGTTAGGGTAGTGCCACGCTGGCTTATCTGTATAGACAGTTGTGTCGCGGTTGCCAGAGTGGGAGCACAGAGCTTGGAGGATTTTTGCTTCTACTACAGATTTGGTCATGGGAGTACATCCACATTGGGCGTCCCATTATAGTACGATACCATGCCCTTGATGGAAAACCACTGCCTGATGAGCCTCCACGTCTGCTTGGACCACATCATCAATGGGGCGAGGACTCTCTAGGCCGTCAGTATGTTTTTAATCGTTTGTATTTATGTTATTGTGTGTTTAATATAGTTATATTAATAATATTTCTATTAATATATACTACATGAATGGTTAGATGGCTATTTGCTGATCTATGTCGCACATCATCGACTTCTGGGCTCGGTGTCTACAGGGATGCATTTGATCGGATGTCTGATGATCAGGTATGGTGTGCATAATATAACATTAACTATAATATGTATAGCAGAAATACTAATTTTGTATCCTTATGAAACAGATTACATGGATGTCGTATACAGATGAGATGTTTGCGGAGTTGTCCCCCGCCGGACGAGAGCATTATCATATATGGCGAGCACGTGTGCCGTTGATATGTTTTGACATTGTTGATCTTCATTTGCCTGATCGTGTACTGCGCCCGTTTGGCTATGAGCAGGTCATTCTACTATTCCAGCACCTATCGACACATATGTAGATCTTCATAAGGTGAATAAACGTGAGAAGCATACAAAGGATTGGACACTGAGACATGTCCGATACGTGACTATATGGGAGGGCGAGCTGAGCTTGTTGTGACTGGGACACCGCCATTAGTCTCATCTGTTTCGAGAGACTACATGTGATGATATTACAACATCACACAGTTGTTTGTGTCTCCTTCTTTCAGACTCCCTACTCACCATTATCAGCCTAGCTCCTTGGCTTTGCACTTGACAATGAGTGTATTACTAATTACTAAAGTAATTCATGTTCTTTATTTAATACTTTTATTTATTTCTAAGTAATTATAATTTTGGTTCATATTTCAGACACGAGCTTTGCAGCGTATACAACAGCGGGCGACTGCCACAGTGAGTGATACGCATGACATGGACACGTACGGTCAGGCTCTGACGGGCATTGCTTCCTTGCGTTCAGATGTGTTGGGGCGAGCAACTATGTCCATCTTATACATATGCCCCCATCTCAGGATTATATGGCATCGACATCTAGTGCAGCGGCGGCTTCTACATCCCAGACTCAACATGACATAGCTGTTCTTCAACCACGACAGCGGCGTAGGCGTAGACATCAACAACAACATCTCCATGATCAAGACGATCGAGAAGACCATGAGAACTTGTAGTTTGTCTTTAATATTGAAGTTTTTCATGCACACTGAATGTTGTAGAAACACTTGACTTTATTTTTTCGTATTTCTACCTGCAAACAATTGAATATTATGTTATTAGTACTTATTCCTTTGTTTATGATGCGTTGATGTGTTTCGTTATGAATATTGAATGTCTGTATTGTGTTTTATTGGTTATGAATCTTATGTTTTGTATGTTATTTGTAACTGGTATGTTACTGGTGATTTATATGTTTTGTGAGCAGGTTTTTTATGTTCTGAATTGGTAGGAATCTGGTTGTTTGTGGTTTTGCAGGTGCAGGGGGGAAAGTCGCCAAACGGTTTGGCAACTTTCCCCGACCCTGGTTAAATCCGGCAGTAGATCGGTAATAAGTTTTAACCCAACCCTATTTCCATAAATAGTTATTTAATTAACATTAATACAGAAAAAAACTCTCATTTACATATACAGTATTTATATGGGATCATATATATTAAAGTACATTGAATGAATATCCAGTATTTAAGAAAATAGTTGCTCTTTTGAGTGTTATTAATGAATCAGTAGTTTCATTAAACAGATGAAATCAGTAACAGATGAAGCTTCGTTGTTTATTATGTATGTGACGCAGGTTTCAAATAAAAAAAAGAATAATGTTTGTCTCTTAATTATGCAATTTAATTGTAATTAGAGTATTGTAATTTTTACCTTCACCTCAGTATATTATGCAACTTTAGTTGTGTTTATTAATTGTTCTTGATCCTTTGATGACATGATTGCATGCATTTTAGGCCTGTAAGAAAAATAGAGAAAGAATGGTGAAGATTTCCAAAGTGCGAGAAATAGAGGCAAAAGATATAAGGTACTGTTTATGTTAGCTCAAAAGGCTAATTAAGAAATTGAGTTCATTCACTTTTGCTCAAAAGGCTAATTAAGAAATTGAGTTCATTCACTTTTGCTCAAAAGGCTGATATGAATTCCATTAAGAGGTGTAAAATATTAATCTAATGGCAATTATTGAATAAAGATATTACTCTCATATTTATAATAATCTGGAGCAGAATTTTTGAAGTAGCTTTTTGAGTTTGAGTTGAGTTCCAATAAAAAAACTTGATATTGATAAAAGTAACACTTCAAATGAATGAGAAATATATTGTTGAATTAAGTGTTGTGATTACATTGTAAGGTCTTAGAAATATTATTAGCTTTTGTGTAGAAGTAAAATCATATATCGTTGAAGTAAAATCACATTATTAGCTTTTGTGTAGAAGTAAAATCATATACTTAACACATTTCTCAGATGCACAATAAGATATTGATAAAAGTAACACTTCAAATGAATGAGAAATATATTGTTGAATTAAGTGTTGTGATTACATTGTAAGGTCTTAGAAATGTTTCATGTCCCATTTTTGTCAATGTATATCGGATTGATTTTAAAGCTTTTGACTTCATTTACTAATTAATCAATATTTTCCTTGTGTTATATGATTATATCCTACGTATATATCTATATTTGGATTATTGGATATAGGTGTATCCTTTGAAGTAATGTATTTGTACTAAGTAATAGGGAAGACTAATAAATAGCACATGACCACAGTGGAGGATCCACAATATAAAATTATTGGGGACATAAGTTGATTCAAAAATCAATAAATTTTTTATTAAGAGGAACAAAATTTGCTTAGATATATCAGTAGTTAAAATTTAAAATCTGAATTACTTTTATAGACCATAAGTATTTGTATGTGTACACACAAAAAGGATAAACATGATAATTTGAATTTAACTAATGCAATTTAACATTCTAAAGTTTAAATACAAGATTAATATCAAAATCAAATCAGTAAATAACTAAACAATAATTTTATATTCCATACAAACCTCATCAAATTTTAAGAGTTTAGTGCAAAATAATTGATATTGTGTGGATAAAAGGTCTAAATTGTCAAATACTACCCGTCCCAAAATAGCTTCTAACCATGATGACACACTTACTACTAAAGTTAAAGTGTATGACTTAAATAATGTCGAAAAGCAAGATGATTATTAACTACACAAATTATTTCAAGAGAAATCCAAAAAGGATACAAAATGAGGATAAATTTTTGAGGCACTCAAAAAAGAAAATGGGAAGGAAATTATGGAGATGAGAGAGTAGTACTTTTACATGACTAGTTTACTCATCTTCGTAACTAGCTAGCTTAGAAAATCTAAAATGCTTTCTTAATGCTCCGATCCATATTATTAATTTGTTTCATACTACTTTTTACTTATTAGGAAATTGATCTAATTAGGACTAAAACATAGTGAATACTCCAACTTAGGACTTAATGTTTTAAATTCTCAAAATAGGACTTCCTATTACCATTCTACCCCTTATATATCAAATCCCTAAATAAATATTTCCTCTGCCTCCTCTTCCGCATCGATCGAACCATAATCGATCACCCCAGATCTCCTCATCATTTCTCCCATATCCCAGGTAAGTAATTGTTCTTCTTCTTCCTTCTCTTCCCTCTTCTGTGTCTCCTTCTCTTCTGTTCTTCTATGCTCCTCTTGCAATTTAGATTAATTTTCTGTTGATGTTTTTGTTGATTTTTTAGATTCAAAGTGTAAATATTTTTTGATTTGAAAATTTTGGATTTGGAACTTCTAATTTGGATATGAAGCTGGAGGCTCTATCAACTTTTCGAAATTGTTGGCTCTGGTAGATTGTTCGTTTATCAATGTTTTAAAAAAGCCACATGATTGGCAATAATTTTTTAGACATGATGGCAATTTTTGAAGATGACAATATTATATGTTTGAAAGTTCCATGGTTTTGACATTTTTGACAAATGATGACATTTTTATGATATTGAGAATTGAGAATGTCATGTTTTAATCTAAAAAATGACATGTTTTTGCATCTAAAAATGTCATGTTGTAATATAAAAAATGACATGTTTTTCCATCTAAAAATGTCATGTTGTAATCTAAAAAATGGCATGTTTTTGCATCTAAAAATGTCATGTTGTAATCCCTAAAAATATCAATATGAGAATGTCATAATTTTTTTAATCTGAAAATGTCATGTTGTAATCTAAAAAATGACATGTTTTTTCCATCTAAAAATGTCATTTTGTGGTCTTTGATGTTATGATGATGGCAATTTCACCTGAAATTGATATACTCTCCAGAGGAGGGAGCTGCAACCGGAAGATGTCTACACCTCCAGGGGGGGACTTAACAGTGGTGGATGACGCTAGAGTAAGCCATCTAGCATGTGTGTGCATTCTCGCTAACTGTGTGCAGCGGCGGTCTCGCCAGTGCAGCGACAGAGCCTCGCTGGGAAGTGCCGGTTGCGGTGGTCTTGGTGACGACTACTGGAGCGGAGCATATTATTGGTATCGATGGTCTGGAGGTCCTGCTGCAAGAAATCATCGGAGGAGGTGCAACGGTGCCTTTTATTTTTATTTCATTAAGGGTAGTTTTGTCGGATTACTTCTTTTTAGTCCTATTTTTGTCAAATAAAACATAGGAGTCCTATTTTTGCAATTATACCTTGTTTTAATCCTATTTGGGTAAATCTCTCTATTTTCATCCATCTACATTTTTTGTTAGAACTTGCTTTATTAAGATGTTTCGTTGATTTACAAAGTAAATTCAACAGTTCTTCACTATTTATATAATTCATGCTATATCAAATATTAGTGCACGCTTGATTTCACGGTCTCTTCATCCTTCATTTTAGGTAAGTTACAATTAGTTAAATAGTAAGAACAAAATTAACTACATTGTAATAGAGATTACCTAATGCATGGGCTCCTTTAAAAAAAAGATTACCTAATGGGCTCGAAATTAACTACATTGTAAAAACTTAATTAGGTAATATATATCTATATACTTATTAATCGAACTAAGTCACTATCCCGCCTAATTCCGGGGCAAATGCGTAAGTTCACCAAGCTTTTCCTATTCCTGCCAAAACTCTCGGCCAACTCTGCGTAAGTCTACCAAGCAGAATCGTCTATTCCGCATTTCCGCTAATCACTCAGGTATTCTTCGATTGTTTCGGATGCATCTGCTCATCAACACCGTGCTTGGGTTTTCCTTCCAATCGCCCATCTCCCGGCGGCTCTCTCTCCATTCGAAAGGTTTTTGGCTTCAACTATTTCAACATTTTAATATACTAAACTCCACGTATCTCTCTTTATACTTTAATATTTTTGTATGACACTTCGCTTTATCTTATTGGATGATCAATTCATATTCCCCCAAATGTTCGGTTGAAGCCCTAAAATTTTAGGGTTTATAGTTTAGGCTGTTATAAGTACGTACATCTAATATGTTTTACTCTATTGCTTACATCATTTCTGTATCTATACTCTTTTTCAGAAGTCTTGAAACCGACAAAAATGTAAACACATGATTTATCATTAGCATGGGCCTGATTTTCATAGATAATGACCGGAAAACTTTTCTTAATTTTCAATCTAATTCAATTCCATATTGGTCATATTAATAACCAAGATGGTGAAGCTGCCTGGAATGCTATACTGGCCTACATTCCCTACAAGCCTTGACTATTGTCTATTTGTCTCTCTTATGTATAAAAGCTATTTTTTATAAAATTTCAAAATTGAAGTGGGCTACAATCGCTGCTTCACTCAATGATGTATGTATTACATTCTGGTCATTTTTCTTCAGGTTCTTCTTTAAAAGTTCAAGTTTCTTCTGGCTTCTTTCCAATACGCTCATATTCCTATTCCTTTTCTCAATTTCTCCAGCTTCCATTTATCAAAAATACTCAAAGGATATCGAGTTTCATCTCCAGAGGTGATTATTTTTTCTAACTTATTATAATTCCAGATCTAGCAATACATTTTCTTCTCAACTCTTTGACTCTACGGAGTTTACACAGTGGATTATAACAATTTTAGAATGCACAAGGTAAATCGTAAATATAACGTCATCAAATAAAGTTGGCTAATTAGCATATTTTCACTATGAGCTTGATCACGAATGTATTTATTTATGAATTGAAGTATGAAACACATAAGTGGTGTTGTCATCTTTGTTCTGGTAGTAGCCAGTGTCATCTTTTTCATCTCATTTATCTTAGTTATTTCATCTTTTTCCTACTTTTTGATTTCTTTTTTTCCCTTTTCGTTTTATTGGCATATTTTCACTATGAGCTTGATCACGAATGTATATATTTATGAATTGAAGTATGATGCACATAAGTGGTGTTGTCATCTTTGTTCTGGTAGTAGCCAGTGTCATCTTTTTCATCTCATTTATCTTAGTTATTTCATCTTTTTCCTACTTTTTGATTTCTTTTTTCCCTTTTCGTTTTCTTTCTAAACTAATAGGTAAAAGCTGTCGTTTTCATATTTCCATAAGAGTCTTAGTGAATGTGCCAATAACTAATTTATGTCATCTTAGAATACACTAAAAGCACACATACAGTGAGCAAACAAGAACCAGAATCTTTAGTTTCAAAAGAAGATACCAGTTACGATAGGAAAATTAAGAGTTACGTTCTTGCTTTGAGCAGTTGTCTAGCGTAGTACATAATTTTGATTCAGTAATATGTAAGCCTTTTTTCCATTTCATCTTCTTTCCCAAACTTTCTCATATTTTCAGCACTATCTACTATGTTATTCTTGGGCTCCTGGAAAAAAGGTGCAATTGTGCAACTGATGGAAACAAGAGTGAGTTTGAGAAACAATCACCATTGTGAATAGATATGATCCTTCTTGACATTTTGTCTCTTATTTATGTGTTTGTTATGAATTATGTGGAACTGGAAACTGTTAGGAGCCTTAATATTAGATGGACATATGTGTTCAATAGCCATGGATTAACCTAGCTAATCAGTTGGAATGTAGTAGCTACATAAGACTTTATGCACTAAGACTATTAGCAGTGAAAAATGCAGTTTTGTTAGTATAATACATACTGCAGATGCAGTGTTTTTCTTTCAAATTTAAAGTTTTTTTGTCAGATTTAGAGGGCTTTCTTTTTTAATAGTTAATATAATACACAATGCATTTTGTTCTATTTCACAGTCTGATAAGTTGGAGATTTGCCCTCCTCTATTTTGACAGTCTGATTGAGTTTTTATAGCAAATAATAAATTGCTATTCTAAGGGTTCAGAAGTCTAAGAAAATGGATATCATGTGCCAATGGCTATGATGTAAAAATGCAATTTATTTCTTTCATCTTGGGCTATGATTTGAGAATATTAAGTTTATAATTAACTAATTAAGTTGTGTGGCTTTTTGTATATTACACAAGTGGATTTTTTCCTAGATATGATATGAGTTAGGAACATACAAGAAGTGATAAAACTTTTTTCGTTAATGCTTTAATGGATAATAAAGGATGAGGTAAAAAGTTTTAGTTTAAGGAGTGAAAATATTGGAGTTTTCACTTCAAATTGTACTACTTCCCATCGGTAAACTGGCATGATAAAGCAGTTAGCCTTTTGTTATGCAACCTGAATACGAATTTCCATTGCCTTGCTAGGTGGCTTTGATGTCAAAAGTGCAATTTCATTCTTTCCCTATGGGCTATGATTTGGAAATGCGTAAAATTGCAGTTTTAGTGTAATACACTAATACATACCGAGTACTACTCTTCTGGACAGAGTGCATCCGTTTTAATTACTATGATGATTGTTATTAAATGACATAATTGCACTAACAGTTCAAGACCACATTTTAGGACAAAGGCTTCAAATAGAGCTTCCCTTTCTTAGAAAATAAATTAACCTACCGGTATTCTTAGCATGTTAACCACTTAACCCGAATATGTTTAATTCCATCATAATGCAAATATCATGGGTAATTTTCCCAAAGCACCCCATTACCTGAAGTAGAATACGAAGCTGGTTAAAAAATCACGCCTGGTGCCCATCATCAAATCTTCTCTTCTCTATCGCTGACACAGTGGAGCCTGCCTGTTTTTTTCTTCTCTAAAAGTAGTAAGCTGAAAAAGTGTGGTGAACAAAAAACATTTATCATCAGAAACATTAATTTTGAGTGTGTGTTCACAAATGTGCTTTGAATTTTCATGACTAGATCTTTATTACTATCATGAGAATGGGACCCATTTTTCATGATTTTGGAACTCTTTTTTTGAGATGTTAGGGTATATGAGGTGAAGGAGCAGTAAAATTGTGAACTTGCTGAGAAGAATCTAGGAAAAGGTAAGAGAAAATTGAAGATGAGTGATGTCTCCGACTCATGGATCGATGTTGGCATGGATACAACCCCAACACCACTAAGGAGCTGCTGCTGTGGGTCACCATCAACGAGATCTCGGTGGACGATCCGCCCACCGGGAAGATCTACTTCATGAGTTCTCTCGGCATCGGCAAGACTTTCCCGGTTTCGGTTTTGAGATCCTGGTGGAGGAGAAGCAGAAGAAGGCAGGGGAAGTCAAGGAGGTGTAATACTGTTATGAAGGGTAGTTATTTGAAAGGTAGTTTCGTTCATCTATTTTTTCTTGGTTTATTGAAGGGTAGGTAGCTTGATAAATTTGATATCATTATCACAGACAACCGGGAAATGCATAATCGAGCTCAGATTTGTACGCGCGTCTTAGCTACATGCTTCCTATTCTGTTTTATCAAGTCATTATACTCTCAGAAGTTCTTTGCCGTCTTTGTTCAAAACAAAAGAAAAAAAGAGAGTGGAGGTGTATTTTGCTTGTATGAGTTCAGTAGATCACTAAGTGGCATCTGAGTGAAATATTCATAACAAGTTATCACATTCATTTACATCTTTTCTTTACTTGATGTGATAATGCTTTATTTCTTCAATCAAATGAAATCATCAGAAGAGTTTCATGCAAATTTACATACAAATTTGGGGCTATCTTTTCCCCATTCTTGAATTGGGGACGGCAAAATATGTGTGAATAATCAATTGTGATGCTATGAATACGACGACTCTAGGCATTGACATATATTGATATATGCTACGAGTAAGTGTTTTAAATAGAAAGATTACATATTAAATTGGGCTAAGTTTTAATCGATTTCTATTCGCGGAAGAAGACAGGTCTCACACTCGGTCATTGCTTGAGCATTTGCTTTCTTGAGAGTTAATTTGAACATGAAGGTGTATGTGGAGTTCTACCACTTTGTATGTGTATGTGTAGTATGCTAGGATGTTAGAATGATTGATGTTTGCTCAAACTCAATTTGAATAAAAGTGAACAATGGAAATCATTTATGTGCACTTTCGTACACCTTGAATCTATTCGACAACTTCTTAGATAATTTTTGTTATTACGTCACCCCGTGCAACGCACGGGTAAAAGGCTAGTTGATATAAGCACACATTAGTTTGTTCTAATTAGCGCATCTCTTATTTAATGCAAATTAATTGTAATTTCTGCACATTATTGGATGGTGATCGAGTTGGAATAAAATTGATAATTATTTGCTACTGTATTCAATAGTATCGTATAAAGATATGGAAAAAAAATTATGTCCAATGCATGTATCAGTTAGTTTGTTGAAATATGGCAAGTTGCAATATGTGTACAATGTACACTTTACCAGTTTATTTCCTATTATTACTCCAAGGATACAATGTACAATGTACACTTTTCGTTTATACTCTAACATTTACTCCAAGGATATATTTTAATATTCCAAATTAATGATATTATAAATTT